GCCTTTTCCTCCATCCATGGAAAAGCACCGTGAAAGGCCCGGGATCTCCATCGGCCCAGGAGGGCTACAGCTTCTTTTTACTCGTAAACAAAACCGCTGGCCTGCTCCCGTATCACCATTGTCTGAGTCCGAAGTCCCACAGATCCACTCTCTCACTGCCGCTCGTCGCCAAGGCGTCCTCTTTATTTAGTCTCAGTCGTGGTTTTCCTGCTTTTCTTCCCGGCTTCCAGCCTCCCTCCCCGCCTCAGCTGCTGTAGGTGTCCCCCCTCCGCAGACGACGGCTCCCCCGATGCTGTTGCTGCTAACGGTAAAATGGTAGTTTCCTGTCTGCATAATGGTTCCGGGTAGAGCCGAGCAAAGGTAAGCCTGTCCTGGAGTGTGCACCGCTATGAGCTCCGATCCAGCATGATGCTCATGCATTAATCAAAGTGTGTGTCTGGGTGTGTGTGTGAGCGCGTGCTCATGCAATAAACGTGTAATTACGCGCTTTGTGACACTGCATGCCATTAAGTTCACGTGTGTGTTTTCACACCAAGGGTGTAAAATGTTAATTAGTCCATTAAATATGTCATTAAGGCGCATGCCACAGAACATTGTTGTGCGCGTGGGTTGTTGTGTAATGGAAGTTTGTGTGTCAGGTATCTCCTTTGCATTTCAATTAAATGTTCTTTAATTGTGCACTCAGAAAAAAAAAATATTTTGTAGAAGGAACATTTTACAAAAGGGTGAAAAAATAACGTGGCCTTTTTAAAAGGTGTGCCTCATATTTATTATTTCTAAATCCTATGTTAGAGCACGGGCGAAGCTAGATGGGGGGCCAGAGGTGGCCATGGCCACCCTTATCCAATTATTGGCCATTTTTTTCACCCTCTAATATTGACTGTGCCAACAGTTATACTTTCAGTGGGAATGTTCAAACTTATTAAACATTTTAATCTTTCATATATTAACAATTACTTGACAATTAATATGATGTGGTTAATTTTGCAGATCGAAATACTAACATTAATTTTGATATGTACAAAATTGTAAAAGTAAACTAGGAGTCTTCTGTGAAATCATAGATAAAAAAACTACTTTGATAATAACCTAAACATCAATTTAATTTACATATTAGTACATGTAAATATAAATTTTATGCAGAACAATTTTTGATAAAAGTAGGTAAGTAATGAAAATGAAAAATATGTTCGCCCCAGAAAGTTTGTCCACTACCCTTTTCTACCTTTTATTTAGACAGAATGGATGTTTAAATATATGTGTCTATTTGTTAGCAAAGGCTGTAGTAAAGTATAGGTTGTCTTTATTTAGAAAACATGGATGCTGTGCTGGTTCCTGTTGGAACAGTGTAGATTGAGCCTGAGGTTCTGGGGCCTATCCGCTTTCGGCCCCCCCTCAGTGTACATTGGTTTTTGATTGGCCATCCCTATTGAAATTTTTTGGCTACGCCTCTGTGTTAGACAAATAAAATACAACGTTTGACTTCGGATTAATGCTTCACTA